AAGGGTAGTTTGTCATGCCGGAATCCACAACATTTGATGTAGTGATTGTACATATGTTTGTGTTAAATAATTGTGTGAGTTCCAATTATTGTAATTGTTGGTTAATCTTGTTTGTGTCCGGACATTCCACAACTTACAATCGTCAACCTTTGAAGGGTTGTAGGCGTACTGGTGTAAGTCCTGCAATTCTTCAAAGGAATTCCACCAAGGCATGATCGGCGAGGTTGTTTGTACAATTTGTATATACGTGTGGTGTGTCATATCAATTGGTGGTGTTTTGGATTCATTGTGTTTACTTGTTGTTTTCGTATCTTGTTTTTATTGCATAATTTTGTTAAAATTTTCGTCGTGATTACTTCTGAAGTTGTTTCGAGTCTTCTACATCCGTGAATGAATTGATTGATGTTAAGGACAGCAGATGGGTCGTATACGCCGGGGAGGCTAGGCTATTGCTGAGAATGAAATGCACACGGAGATAATTGTTAGCTGCGGTCCGACACACCGGGGAGAAAGAGTGTAAACGACTGAGGCTCGCATGCGTCACCGCTACTAGAACTGAGGCAGAATGAGTGACAAGCGATTTCAGTGGTAATTGGTAGTGAGTAGATAAGAGGATGTGCGTGGAGTATCATGAGTTGGTGCCATGGTCACGCTGCTTTCTGCAAGAGTCATTCTAGCGAGTGGCGATTGTGTTGCAAGATGTCAAGAGGAGGTCTCTGTCTGGAGGCGCAGGTCGTCATTGATGTGTGAGATTGTGCTGTGGGTATGCTTGTGGTGTGTTGGCTTTTCTGTTTGTTTTCCATTTCAGCTCTGTCCGTGTGACCCAGGTTCTCGCAATGGCATCCAAGTCAACGTGCATTGGTCGTGAAGGAAAAAAGGGTTGGATCCCTTTTTTGCCGGGGAGTGTCAATGTAGTTGAAGATTGAACGATCAATTCATGGTTGTTTGCTCAAAATCAACTTCCCCAATTTTCGCGGAGGCATCAATACGACAGTCATCGTCTCATCGGTCGCTGTTCAGAAAGAAGTCAGTAGCAAACCGTCAGAAGTAATATTGTGATTTATTATTGTAATATTTGTTCACAGACCTTAGTTATAACAGTATTTATATGTTGGTGTAACAATAAAGAATCCTGGAGTCAACAACTGTTATTTTGTTTTTTTCGTTCGCTATTACTAAGCGTTTCTGAGAAACTTCAAGTGACAGCGTGAGCCCGAGCATAGCAAGAGCTGGGCATTAACGTTTTATGAGACGTGGCTGACAACAGATGTATTGGGTGCCGAATCTGGAAATCGGTTCTAGGTGGTTTGTCGTTGTTTTTTAGTTTACAGATCCGTTATGAACTTGCCCTCAAGGTCTAAACTTCCTTTGACGCAAATTCTAATGATCTGTAACTTTTGGGTCCTGAAAAGAGCAGTCACAGCTACAGCCTATGAAACAGAAAATTAAGAGTTTTCAGGAGTGCAATGGTACAACTACTGCAGAGATATTTCCTCCTGGAAAATGACCACCCTTACTTAAGTTCTCGGAGGAGTCGGCAGCATAGTCCATATTGATGAGACTGTACTTATAAAAAGGAAATACAACCGCGGGAGATTACAAGCAAACCAGCAGTGGATACTGGGTATCTACGACACGACACTGCGCAAAGGGTATATAGAAGCGATTCCCAATCGCAGTGCAGCAGTATTAGTGCCTATTAATAAGCGTTTGGTGTTGCCGGGGACGACTATTCATACAGATGAATGGAGCAGATACCGTCAATTATCGAATCATGGGTACATTCATCATGTTGTTAATCATACGGACGGTTTCCGGAATCCTGTGGATGGAACCCACACCAGTTCCATTGAAGGTTTTTGCAGTCGTCTTAAAAGACGTATAAGAGCGGTTAATGGATCGAGAAATCCCATGATTTACAGTTACCTGGATGAATTTATGTACCGAAACTGGTTTCATATGACTATGAAGACTCTCATGAGAAACTGGGAGGTTTTTTTGCAACAAATACGCGAACGCTATTCTTTGTAACTGTTTATTATGATTACATTACTCTTATATAAACTGTTTTATGGAATTGTGCGCCTTTCTTTTTTAGCCTTCTCATTGGCCGAAGTTGTCCCTGTCAAGGTCATTTTCGCGTTAATAGGTCGTTTCGGTTTGGGCCGCTATTCTTTAGAGTCACTTTTTTCTGGACGCTGGTGTCATTTATCCCCAATACCTATTGTGATTCACACTCAATTTCCCTCGATTGTATTTTCTTATCAAAAGTACCTAAGGAATCTGCAAATTATAAACGAACGACAAAGGTTCTCGAACAGTCCATTCTCCAAAGAGTAAAGAAAACAAGTTATGGAGCGAATTTGAAACGCAAAAGATGTAGAGCATCCATAATTACCTCTGGAAATAACAGTCACCTGATTCCTTGCTCAAGGTCATTTGTGCGTTCAAAGGTCGTTTCGGTTTGGGCTGCTATTCTTTGGAGTTATCAGAGATGAAATCTTCAAACTTTATACTTCTTTGATTAAGTTACCCAGCAGTATTCTCCTTGTAAGTGGATCTAATGCTTATATAATATGTGTGAAATTTATACGGATGTTAACTTGTTCCCTTAAGCTAAAAAATGTCTATACGCTTTTATTATTGCTATTTCAAAGCCCGCCCTAGTAACGTACAGCACGTATTAGCCTCAACGTTTGTGCAAATGAAAATCTACCAATCACAGTGTGCGTAAGTGACCTTCAAGTGCTCAGCCTCTCCGTAAGCCGTTTGTGCCGATATCCTCTATCTCTTAAGTTTCCAAATTAGTTGGTTAGCAGTGACATCACGCGTGTGCTATCTATCTAGGTAAGTCAATACTGTTCTCATCTTTCCATGGTCGACATGTTCATCATTCATAGATAAAGTTTCACTGTTATACATCATGACACCCTCTTCACTCACAACTCTCCCCTTATATCTCTTCAGGGAAAACCAGAAGCCTATATAGGAAACTATATGCCCGCACTAGGAAGTACAAAAACTCATCCATACCCTACTTAGCTCGTGTTCTGTGCGATAAAGAAAGCATTAGGCGTGAAACCTTTAACTTATTAAATTGTCAGTAGAACAAATGGACCTCGTCTTTCCAACTCACATCATTTACAGGTACAACGTTTTTCTCTCTACCTTTTTTCCTGTATTTATTTTTGTTATGTGCTGTTTTGTTTCTCTCTTCCTTACAAACTCTACTTAAAACGTTCTTGTTCGTTCTTTCACACTTTGTATATCTCCACCATTTTGCTATCGCTTACGCCAGTAAATATGCTAGTAGTATCTACTTTTCTATCACCTTCAAATATTCTGTTCACTTTTGGCTTTGCTACCGACATGCTAATATGTTGTCAAAGCTGACTGAGATAACTTTAATCTACGTAGAACTTTATTTATTGTTAATGTACTAACTGGATGCAATATTGTAGTAAAATGTTGAGAATTCCATTCTGTATCACAAGTACTGATTTGGAATAAAGCCATTATCTTATCATATTATTATTGCTCCCTTGGGTTCCTAGTGGAACATAGGGCTTCAACTGTACGTCTCCATTTGCTTCTGTCTTCTGCTGTACTTTTCATATGTATCCATGTTAGTCCATACTGTTTCGACTCCTCCATGTTACCCTTGAACGTCCCACACACCGCTTCCCTTTCGGGTTCCACTCGAGGGCTTGACGCGCATGACATGCTGATAGTTTTATCAAATAAATCTACTCAATGATATGATTTTATTCTACAACAGTGCCCAAATCTTATACATACGGCAATTGGTTATCAAACTTAAAATATTGTTATCAAAGCTTTCAGCAGTAGAAGGAAATGAAAAGTATCAAGATACTAGTTAAAGTCAGTAATTCTTTGTATTTCAATACCTCCCCACGAAGTATGATGATCAGTGAAGTCGATGTATGGTTGTACATAACTACATCAGTTTAGCTTACTGCACTTCGAAGATGCATAAAATTAGAGGATAGAACAAGATGTCATATTGTATTGCTGATGTAGTGAAAATGTGGTTAGTCAAAAGTTTAAGTATCATAGTTGTTGTGGAGTATATATATCGTATCCAACCATTAATTCTCAACATATCTCGGACTCCAGTTAAGCTCTGACTATCAGCCATGGATTGGTGCCATCGCTGTTGGTGTGGTTTTCTGTTTGTTGGAAAGTTTAGCTGCACGGCTTCAAACTGGAGATGCTCCTAAAATGCCTGCTACGACAATGATTGCTTCACAACTAAGTGGCTCAACTCAGAGAACGACAACAAATACACCTAAATCCTCCATTACATTTAAATAGTTACCTTTAAGTTTGATGATTTACTTTTTCCAACCTAACCACACTTCCATCAACATTGTTGGTGGGAAAATGGTAGTTGGGGCATGTTCCACGTTGTTGGCTGTCTCCACGAATGAAGAACTACATTGTATGACTCGTATTTTATCACCAGTGAACCATATGTATGTATAACTTATCAAATGTTTCCACTGTAGACGATGACACATGATCGAATTTATATAACTCCTTCAGGTCTGCTACTCTCAGTGCTAATGTGCCTTCTTAAAGTAGAATGGGATAGCGTCAAAAACAATACAAGCTGGGAAATGACAAACGGCATTTTCGTATATGTTATAAGACTTCATCAGTAAGAATTCCATTTAGATTGATTGAGCTTGGCGTGTAAGTAAAGTCATCTGCATATTTCACCGAAAATCTATTGTTTCCATTGGATCTAATTGCTTAATTTTTTTCCAATTTTAAGTGTTTAGTCGTGTTCTAACCGTTCTGTTTAATTTGAACCTATCTACATTAGAATACCGAAAACTGTTGGTTACTGTATTAATGCTTTCCAGAACTCCTAAAACGGTTATATAGTCAGTCCATACTATTCATCTCGAAAGTTTGATGCTTAATATTTGAAGTTTATTAGTAGTCATTAAAGTTACCAGTTATGGCGAAATGTCATGCAACCTCTCTGTACTAATCATTATTACTGCCAAAGAGGAATAAGTTTGTCTAACCAACCAATTAACCCAACTTTTTTTTCAGACGTTATGGGAAGATGTGGAGCTACAATTCAAAATTGGTTTTCAGCAATAGAAAAAGGCGATCTGTCGCTGGTTGAAAAACTCTGGAAGGATATAAGTGATATAGATGTCACGGATACTTACATCCTCAATAATATTAAGGTACAGTAGCTTTACGTTAACATGTTCTATAGCATGATAATGTAACTGGGCTGATTATTGGTGCCCATTTCGGTCACAAGGATGTAGTTAAATGGCTTTTAAAAAATAAAGCAAATGTTAACTGGGAAACTAATGTTAGTTGTTGATTTCTGTTATTATATATCAACTGTTTTTAGCTGAAATGGCGTCCGATTCATTTTGCCGCTGAACGTGGTCACTGTACCACGGTGGATATGCTTTGCAGCAGCGGAGCACTTATTGACCCACTTACAATGGTATGTTACAGTTTTGCATGTTATTCCCCCAGAATAATGAAACTCCTCTGTCTCTGGCACTTCAGTCTCACATGCGCGATACTGTGCTCAAACTTGTACATCTAGGAGCACAAACAAACAAAAGTAACGAAGTAAGGTTGAGAGGATTTTAGTGTCACATCACGTACCTTTAAGCCTTATTTACAAATGTGCTTATGATCCTAACCTGATAAATTGGTAATTTATCTTTATAGAGTCTAGTTTATCACTACGTTTGCCGTGAGATGCTAGTACCGGATAATTCATCACAAACGCAACGTGAGAATGTTGATACTGCTCTTGATGGGAGTTTACAGTTGCGAAATCAAAGTCCACCAACCAATTCATTATCAGTACCAGATGCCAGTTCTTCTCTATGCTTAAATGGTGATACAAAGGACTTTTCGATTGCAGTTTTCGACAATCAAGTTATAATGAATCAACTTCAGTGTCAGTCGACAAGTTACGACTTAGAACTTGCCAGACGAAAAAGAGAACTAATAAGGCACCTACGATTCCTACCATGTATGTCACAACATTCAGCTAATCAATTCCTGCAATTGACTCAGCGTGTTTCCCGTGCAGATTTACCCTTGGAAAATCGTCTATCTACAGTTTCTCATCTCTTCAGTCTGCTTCCTATTCTGTCTCCCAGCGATACTCACAGTGATCTTTCCAGTAAGACTGCATCGATTAGCATTATCATTGAACCATATTTGCGTCTTTTTGAGGCGTGCCTGTGTGAATCTCATTGCCCGCTAGAGTTGTGTGTTCAATTAAGTAGGCTTGCTGTGTATATAGCAGCCTTAGGAGCAGGAAAACCTTTTGATACCAATAAATCTGTTACCAATGACGAATTTCCCCTAAAACAAACACCCCATGTGCTCATATCATTTCTTACATTGTAAAGTCACTCAAGAGGCTGCTTCTCAAAGGAAATGCTCAGTATAGATCGGGCATTCTTTCACATATTTCACGGATCTTATCAGACTTATGCTTACCAACGAGTCATAAAAGTAATCAACCTATTAGTGGTATCTGTTCCTGGTGTGATCTTTTACCATTTGTTTCAAGCATCATTTCAAGTCTTATTCGCTTAGGTGAAACTCTTGATCAACCACTAAACGTACCGCGTTTTGCGCAACTTGTTGGTCTTATTGCTCGATGTTTAACTAGCTCTCTTCCAAAAGCCAGCCAGATTTCCCTGTCCTCACGAATTTCTGACCTTGTAGATATTCTTGTGGGTTGGAGTGTGGATTCGTCTGGTGGCTCAAAAGATGTAAATGTAAGCACTATATGCGACGAAATATACTTTGGCCTTTCACATTGGTTTTTCCTACGTACAGAAGATAAACCTGAAGAATCAAAGCAGTTTATATCGTTGCCGGTTGTAAATGAGAATATTCGAGAAATGGTTACTCACTTATTGGAAGATAGCGAAAATTTACTGAATGCAGCTATTTCAGAAGGCACCACTGTTAACAACAAACGTAATCCTACAGTACCAGGAGGTGCGATACTTTCATCTGACCCAAACGGTCATTTGGTATCACTTCAACTTTTCCTCAATGTTTTGTCTAGCATGTTTGGAGGTATCTGCAACCGTAACTTTGCTTCAGAAGATATTGGTTTCGACCATTTAATGTCTGGTGACGTTTCACAATGGATTGAACGTCTGCTGCGCATTGTCCAATCGACAAACGCTTATTATACCACATTGTCATCACAAAAACAAACTACTTCATGGCACTCTTTCATGCACCGACTTATGCTTTTCATGTCCCATTTATTGTCCTGGATGGAATTCAGTCTTCAGTTTTCCAACTATTAAGCTGTTTGATACAATTTTCTGACTGTTCAAATGCTGATATTCTAGCCGTACACAACTGCTTGATATCTAGTGTGAATGTCGAAAGTTTGCTATTTACTGATTATTCATTAACTTCGTTACTTGATCTCATATTCACTATCCTGAAAGTAAAATACTCCTCTACTTCAACCTCTGCAATTCCTTCGTCGTTGTTAGTTTATTTTGATTCTCATTCAAAACTGCATCATTTCAAATTGTGCTGCAAATCAGATAGCAGAAGAATTGATATACCAAGTCAGAAAATTTTCCAATTACTGTGTGATTTATCGTCTATGAAGTCTCTTCAAAAAGCTGTTTGCGAATTAGCATTATCTGATCTTGAATTGGCAACAAATTCTCAGAAAGATATAGATTCGTCTGTACCTTCAAGTACTTGTAATTTGGAAACCTTATCATTATTCAGTTTATCACTGTTATCCAAATTGATGCAAAACATGTCTTATGACCTCAGAAATGAATTACTTTGTCGTATATTTGAGATTGTTCGAGTAAACTGTTTGAAGAACTGGTCTGTTGTTCCAACCCGTCTCAGAATAGTCATCCTGACATTTTTGAATAATCCATCACTACTTACAACATTTCAAACAGTTAACATTATGGATATGCTAACCAGCTTTCTTTCTATCAGGAATATTTCCAATATGGAGGGTTGTATTCTTCTGAATTTAATCGACTGCTTTTTCTCTGAAAGTATCGTGTGTTCCGATAATAAGCTAACTTTACTTACTCACCTCGTAGTATTGTCAAAGCGTACACTTGTTTCACAAGCAGCTTTGGATTCATCTTGTCAAAATGTTTTTATCCTGTGCACGAACGTACTTGTGAAATATGCTCTCCCATACATCAAGAAGGGTGATGCAAAACTTGCTTCTTATCTTTTACACTTAGCACAAATCTCATTATCTTATCCATGTTTGCAAGTTCAAAAAGCTGGTAACGATTTATTACTTCTAGTTGGATCATTTACTTCCAATAAAGTCGAATTTCCATCAACCAAATTATATTCAGAATTGCTCTGGATTACTACTCGACGACCAGATTATTCGTCTACAGCTTTATTATCGTCAACCAGTCTTGGTTACACAGTCTGTAATAATAGTCCAGCGGCGATGATCACTTCTTTTCCTAGCCTTCCCGCTATTGCAGGAATTCTGTGCATTTTAACAAGAGGAGCTCCTTATACACAGAAATCAGAAAGTAGTCGACTGAGAATTCTAAAGAACCCAAATGATTGGATCCGACGTTTGTCGCATTTAATTTCTCCGCTTCCATCAGATTGCAAACGTGACCTGTCATTACTTCAGTGCACTAGTTTTATGCAGCCGGTATTATGGCACACAGCATGGGCAATGGTCGATTACAAATTAAAGGTTGCTCCTTGGGCTAATCCACTGAAAACATTCTTCTCTTTTGAGGGAACTTTAAGAGCGTTTCTACAATCAAAAGACACCATCGATTCTTGTAATGGAAACTCGAATTCAATAGCCCCTTTCTCTGTAGCTTCTTCCAAGGCGCTTGCTTATCAGACAACTAATCGACAGCTTAGTCAAATTCAGTTGCTTATGAGGTTTTTGGGTTATCTTGAACGTATTATTTTCAATGCCACTAGTGGTTTTGCGACTGCGCTACCACGTCCTTCAACAACTGCTGCTCTATTTTTCACAGCAAATGAAAATACTTGTACCCAGTGGTACAATCGAATTCGAAATCTTCTAATTCTAATATCAAGTGACTTACCATTGGTATCGAGAACTGGTTTAGGACCAGCTATTGAAGTCTTATCTACTACTGTCCATCACTCATATAGCTTGCTGAGGATTGTTTCAAGTTACAAAAGCCCGAATGATCGTGATGTGTGGCTGAACACGTTGAGGCAGTATGGTGGATCAAGTGATATAATTATTCATTTATCTAAATCGCTTCATAAATTAGGAGCTTGGGAAGAATTGGAGGCTTTAGCACAGTAAGTTGTACGGGACATACATGTGTTCACATTTCTAAATTATTGTTTACTATTTTGTTTATGTAATGGATTTAAATTCTCACCACGTGATCACGGTTTCACAAAGACTTTTAGTAAGAATGGTCACGAACTTTTGAAACTTAATAAATTGAGAAATTGGCTTATTTGCTTAAGAGCCAGGCTTTCAGCGGGTGGGTCCCTAGATCCGAATCCCGTTTGGTCGAAGTAAGTAGTCCCGGGCAACTGGGTAGTATCATCAGCCCTCACACAATGATTGTGTGGCTCATACCTTGGGATATGAAAAACCTATTCTGGGAGTTGAGTTCAAACAAAGCAAATTGGCCTTACTGAGTCAAAGGTATATAGCTTATAGCTAAACTGTCTCCTGGCTACATTTCATCCTTGATCAAATCATCAATCGTTTTAAAAATCAATGAATACACCATACACTGTTAGATGCATCAGCTTAAATACGAGTATTTGAAGTGGTGTATGAGTGATGAGCTTGTGACTTCCTCTAGCATGAATCCTTCAGGGCATCTTAAAATCAGAAACAGTTATAGTAAGCACAGAAATTTAAATTGTACCTATGGTCTCCTCCCAAGTGAAACTTCACGTCTCATGCACTGTTATTATTTAACCACATATCGAAACCTTATCTATTCATGTCTATTAGTGATACTGTAGGTAAACAAATAGCATCGTTAACTCTCAAATGAGTCACTGCTGAATTATTTGTATGAGGTTGTTCATGTTAATCTGACAACTATTGAACATCCCACAGTTCCTTCAGAAGATTCATTACTTGCCGATTTTGAATTATATCAGTTGGTTACTATTAGATGAGTTTTTGTATACATGTATCATGAGTTTTGTTTCTATATTTCCAATGAACGAAGTATTCCCATAATAAGTCATAAGAAAAAGACGTAAACAGCGAAGAAAATCTTCTTTTCTAAGATTCATTTTTCATAAGCTGTAAAATCGTAATTATATTTACTAACAAAGAAACCATAAGACCAATCAGATATTGGTGAAATCTTGTTGTCAAGCTTGTTGGTAGGTAGTGCTGGTTTCTAATATTATTTTGTCAGAGAACTGAGTTTTGCCAGATACTTCTTGTGCGATTAATATTGAATGAACTTGCATTTCTAGATGGCTGGACGACCTCTTCACTCCACAACAGAATCCATTTTCCTGGCTTCATGGTGTTTCTTTATTAACTCGTGGATATTGGGATCAAGGCATTTTACAACTAACTGGTTATCTGGATTCTAACTTATCCAAAAGCAAAGTATTATCTTCAGAAAATTTTGCCACTACCGAGGCCAGTGAAATTTCCATTCATGCAGTGTCCACAGTGTATGTTACTGACCTCCTTCTTCAAAGTTATCTTCTTGAAGGTAACTATGATGCTGCTGTGAAACTGCACAGTCGTGTAAAAACGTGTTTTAAGGGAAAATTACTGAAAGAAGATTTCTCACTAAAGCTTACTTCCAGACGTCTTGACTGTATGAATAAATTGTCTAAGTAAGTTCAGTGTAAATAGTGTAATTCCAGTCATATTTTTTTTTACTTTTCATCAATAATTGAAAAACTCACCGTGAAAATTATTGTTCTATGGGTCTTATTATTTGTGTACAATCACTATCTATTTGTCTTATATTATATACCTTATAAATTGTTTAAGTTGTATGACAAACTGTAGATTGACTTATTTATCTAACCGTGATTTACTTTTAATTATGCTTGGACAATGATATGTCAGTTGTGCAGTTTCATCGGTAATCTTCAAAAACATCATTCCTCAATACGAATTCAAAAAAAAAGTTTATAAAATCTTCCCTTTAACACATCTAAACAGATTAAAGGTGGTGAGTATGTGTCTCGTTAGCTTTTAGCATTAGAGTTTTAGTGACTAGGTTCCGTGTTTGAATCCGATCACATATCTGCCTTAGCTTAAGCAGTCAAGTAGTATTATTTAACAATCACAATAAATGTGACTCGGCCTGGTCTGCGAAACGATCCTTAATTAAGTTTCAACTGTTAATATTGAGGAACTGTGGTCATACTCTCTCATTCTTTCAAGTTCATTGTAAAATTGACATCCAATAATTTAAAGAACTGTGGCTGCTGATTGGTTTAAACTTCCATCTGGCTCGTACACCATACATGGGGAGATGTGGTCCATTGGCTCGAGCACTCAGTTTTCTTCACTCAAGTCGATCCCGGGTTAGAGTTCTGACTCAGACTAAAAAGCTGGGTAGTATCAGGAGCCTTCACACAGTATGTGTCTTACAACTTGACACATCAAAAAATTTGTACGGGTAACAAGAGTTTAAACTGAACTCGTATACAGCAAGCCTAATACACAATCCAATATTTTGTTGCACAATAATATCTGATAGATGTAGGTATGAAATCGCCCGGCCGATAACTGCTACCTTGTCGTCGTGGTCGGGCTTGGATAACTTAATGACCCAACATGCTAAACTGACTGGGACTCTGTCCCTGCAGGTCCTACCATGTCAGGATGGTTGTTTGGATAGCGGTCAAACTAAAAGCAGTTACCATGGAGTACATGGGCTCCAATATCCAATCGGATCGAATGGCGTATGAACCCATATGGGTCACCGGAAACCATGGGAATGCAGCTCCTGACGCTGCTCCACTGCCTTGCGGATTAGACTCCAAGTCAAAGGCTCGGGGAGTGGTCCCCTAATAAAACCACCTGCTTCGGTCTGGGCGCCCGGGCAGTATCTCAGCCCTCACACAATATGAATTGAATAAAACAACAAACAATCAATCGCGAGCTATTACACGTGTTGCAGTTTCCTTCTTTCTTCCCTTCCCGATGATAGTTAACGAACACTGTTTAAACTTGTTAAGCATGACTGTTTTCCTTTCAGATGAAGTTCTTTATCCGCTCTCTACTTCTATATATATATATATCTTTTGATCTATGTTGTTTTATTATTATTGTGTGGCGCATCCTTCATGGTGCCATATTGTACCAAGTTTTTATGCGTTTAAATAAATAAATAAGTAAGTAAATAAATAAATAGATGTGAAATCATGACTGTAATTTTCCACTTAGTCATGTTTTCTGTTTCTCGCATCAAAATCCTGAGTCGTTTGAGATTTCCGCGGTTCTTAGTTTGAATAGCTGTAATATAATGCAATAATGTTGCAGTATTTGACTTTCATCATCCGCTTTCCCTTTGTACTTTTTCTTTTGTTAACAGATGGACTTCTTCAAAAGATGTTAGTGATAATTGTGATCCGTCTGAACTGTTGTCGCACAACTTTCTTCAAACACACCTGAATAGTTTACTAGTCAATGCTGTGTGTTCAATGCGTCAAACTCAACATATATCCTCATCAAAGTGTTTATCCGAGTTGATTTCCATAGTAAGACAAAGGTCAGCAGCTGCAACCTCGCTTCCTTCCATAAACATGTTTGCTGATTATTATTCTCAGTCGAAAACTGTTCTCAATGATGGTTTACAGGATTGGTTGATCAAGGCTCAGTTGTCGATTACTGAAGAGACATGCACTTCATATGAAATATCAGATCCTTTGACCTACTCATCATGGATGCACCTTGCATCGTTAAACGAGAAAACCCACTCTACTTCTGAGCTTTCCGCTTGTCAATGGGCATGCTTAAATAACTCTCCAGAACTGGCGCAGCGTTTAATTACTAAGGCAGCTAACTGTCTTACACTGCTAGAACATAACGTCTCTCGAGACAAAGGAGAAACGTCATGTTTTGATGAACTTTGTAATGTGGTTTTGGTCAGTTCCAGCGATATCCTATCTAAACTGTCACGAGTAGATGCTTTGCAGTTCTATTACTGCTTGGCTAAAACTCTATGGCTATCATGCAGTAGGGGAACAGAAGAAAATGAAAAAGATGGAAAAATTAAAGCAATCGCAATGTTGGTATCTGCTTTGAAACTAGCATTATTTCAAAAAGTGAATTGTAATATGTTAAAAACTGCAACTCAGTGTAATTTGGAAGCTGAAATGGTTGTGTGTCTCTCCGAGTGGTTAGAATCGCCATCCGATCCCGATAATGTCCCATGGACTGAAAGGATATGTCGAGATTTGACAAGTTCAAATATGTCTGAACAAAAGGTATCTATAGAATGGTACTTCATTTTCATTTTTTTGTGCTGTGTTATATTGTTAAGTTAATTCACCAGTGAATTCTAAGCTTCTTAGTGTTTTGACCTTTCGTTGTTCACAATAGACTGTTATATATTTTGTACTGTAGACCATTTTCATGAACTGACTTAAATATAAAGGCATCAAATGACATTGATAATTTATCAAAAAATGAAGGCTAAGGTTGGTGTTTTTGGCGTGTTAGGTTCTCTGGACTAGTCGCTAAAAATCTCGATACTACTGAAAACACAAACCTCTATAAGGTCAGTGCTACACTGCAGCATATAGAGGGAAGCATTCATTTTTGAAGTCAGTTTTCATGTGTACGGTGATAGTGTATCATATCGAGAAATCATATCGAAAAGTAGACTTTTAAATCCGGGAGATAAAAAGCTGATGAGGTCATAGAATTTCAAGCACATGTGTAGGTTGAACTATTTGTTAGTCTTGTTGTTTGCTAACAACAACCGCACATGCTGAAAAGAATGATTTGTTCGTACATATGGCTGTCTAGAATGTATTTCAGATCTGATAGGTTGCCACTACACTCTGTGTGTCCAGTAGTAACACAATATGCTTGATAACTACTCTCGAATTTTCATAGCATAAGCATTGACAAATGGCAGACAATTTATTACTCATCCTGAACAATGAGTGAATTGGTTCAATTTTGTGAAATAACTTCTGAACATTAACTATTTTAAAGGAATCTTAAGACGCCAAACTTTCGTGCATGGTATGATTATTTTATTGTTGAAGATTAATTCTGTTTAGAATAAGCTTTGTAGAGTGAGGATTACTTTTGAGCAAGTAACCAGTTGGTTAGTTGACTTAGTAGAGGTTAGCTACTCACTGTGCTATGTGAGGTAGACTTGTGTGAGGGCCGATTGTACTATCCGGTTACTCAAGCTGAGATAGGTGGAGCGAGATTCTCAAATCGGAGACTCATTGGCCTACAAGTCGGGTGCTTAAGCGAATAAGCCACAGATCCTTTGTGTATGGATGTGTTTTAATTGTTGGTGTTGCCACTTCCCGTATACGCATAGTTTTCCTCATGACCTTTAAAGTCGTAAATTCAAATAACTTGCTGTTATGAGATTTTCATTTAACGCGCAACAGAAGCTCTAACAAATTCAGTTAATTTTGGTTTGGTTTTGTTAGATCAATTTCACTCCTTTAAATTTCAAGAGGTTTCGTGTGCATGTTGGATTGTGAGGGCGATTGTTACTTCTCGGCTGCCCACACCGTGGAAGTTGGTTGCGTGACCACAGAACCCAGGGGACAACTACTTGAGGCCGGTCACACGCGGCCTGTTTTTGTTTGTTCTTTTTTGTTTGGTGTGTCTCAGTAGCATATTTATCACTCCTGCCCTGTGAGACGGCAGCAGGAAGCGCGGTCGTTGTTGATCCGGGCCACGGCCGATCCGGCATGATATTTTGAGTTTTTATGTATCATAGTGTTGGAATGGGTTGCTGCGTTTTGTTTAACCGCTATCCAAACAACCTGCCTGGCATGGTAGAACCTCAAGAGGCATAAGTCTCAGCCAGTATAGCTTGATTAGGTCATTGCGGTGTTCAAGCGCGACCACCACGTCAAGGTAGCAGCTTTCGGTCGGGACTTTCAAGGATAACCTAACCATTTTTCGCTAGATAACTGAATTATAGCCAAGTTTTACTTCATTAAATTCAGTCATATTTATTATCTGAATGAATGGGCATTAATAAGAATGACTAGCTTAATGACTTGCAGTTGTTACAGTCACCCTTTTTGGTATTGTCACAGAGAAGTATAATCTACTATGATGGAATCACTGCACAGTTTAATTATTTTCATTTATCTTGTGCTACTTGTGCACACTTTACGTATATTCATTTTTTTGGTTGCCATATTCCCAATTTATCTCACTACTTTTGTGTCCGTCGGTTTGATTGCTAAAGTTCGCGTTTAATATTCTCTTGATTTCTAGTCTCAAAGACTTTTAGCCATAGCGTCAGACCTCGATATGTTCAGTTGTTTTGCTGATGTTTCTTCGCCTAGTAGTGGGCTTCCTGATGTCACCAAGTGTGTCCAACCTACTACAACATATCCTCTCCTAGCGTCCACATGGCCTAACCGCCTATTAATGATGGCTACTCATCTAAATGCAAATGGCTCATCTGCATCTGTTTGGCTAGCAATGGCAAATTGGTGCTATTCTCGAGGTTGTAAAAAAGTAAGCGCAGTAAAATACCACACTTTCATAAAGTCTCCAATTATTTTTTTTGTTTGAATGCTTTCCAATGATCGCAAACGGATAAATAAAGTGTCAATATATTCTCGATTAATTCTTTGAAATCTTGATTGAGAAGTCTAAGAGGTGTAGAAATGACCAATGTAGCTTTCATGATTTACTATTAAACATTTTAAAAAGAATGTTGTTTATCTGCTGTTCTGTTAACGAAAATTTATCGGCTATGAAGCTGTATTGTAGTTAGGACTGTCGCCGACCATGCACACATGGTCCGAGGTTCGATCCCCTCCCTGTCGACGCACACCTGATATCTATGGTCGGCCTACAAAATTTGGTGGCTACCGATATTACATGCTGAAAATTCCATACTTGTATCAAAAAGTACAGTGTGGAATCAAGTTGTAATCAAAAATACGAAAAAATTTGTATTTATACTTTTCTCTGTTCCTGTTTACAGATTGACGAGTTTCAGTCAGCTGCAAGAATGTATATTAAGGATCGTAGCGAAATGTCTCCAAGTCATCCTGCTGTTCCTGTCCTATTGAAATTGGTACAGTCAACAGAATATCCCTTATTAACTATGTTAACTGAAAGACTATGCATCTCATCACAAGAAAATACAAAGAATGATGAAAAATTAGATTCCTCTATACCAGCACTAATCAGTGCTTTAGTGACCTTTTTAGCTACTGATGTGTGTAGTCAAGATGAAATGGAGGTTTACAAACATCACAACACATTAAATATTCATCTGCATCAATTTTCTCCTCATTGTCCTGATGATCAGTTAGATGGACAGGTTAGATAAACTATTTTCAGTTTATATTACTATATAAACAAAATTTTGTTGTTGTAATGGAATGATAATTAAATGTTAATTAATTAATTGTATTATTCGGATTAGCGCCATCTTTGCATTTTAACTACATGCGACTATTGCAGAGTAAAAAAATTGATTGGCTTCAATTACTATACAGTCACCACCTTATGTAAGTTGGGTGAAGTTCAACAATAGCGTCGCAAGAGTGCGAATGACCTTCAATGACCCCTTTAACGCATGCTAATCGTTGGCTAACGGCATCTGTCATTATCATAGCTGAAATATCAACACTATTCACCAACTTAGGAGCAAATTTCACCCAGATCACGTTTTTAAGCACTGTTTGGACAATGTGTTAATAGCTCGTTAGGGTTAGGGTCAGGGTTATAATTAACATTAGGGTTAGAATTACGGTTTAGATAAGGGTTACATACTTAGGGTTAGGGTTAAGGTTATGGTTACGATTAGGGATAGATTTATAGTTGATGTCATTTATTTTAACTTGTTTTATTATCTACGTTTTCCTGGTAAGTAGTCATCTTGCTGGAAACCATAACAATTCAATCAAGGGCTTTTTTGGAAGGACTGCAAGCAAGATGAGAGAGACAAACGATTCACAAAAACAGTTTATCTGTATTATTATATGTGTAAAACTTGGGCACTGTGGTAGTATTATTTACTGGATACAGTTTCACTGTGTGATACATCTAATAAACAAACTACTATGGAATTACAGTTTATCTGTAGTCATCTCGGTGAATATATGTACAGAAACTAGTCTGACTTAGCAAGTGATACTCCTTGATATAACTAGGATGTAAGTTTAAGTCATGTCAGAGAAAGATAATCTGTTCAATCCGTTTTCTAGCGTTCTCATTTTTATGATTGGTCAGCTGAAGGTCACTCGTGCGTTCGTACTCCTGGGACACTATTGTTGAACTTTATCGTAAGTTGTTCTATGTGACCTAAAATCTGTTGTGCTTTATTATTATTATTGTTCCCTTGGGTTCCTAGTGGAACATAGGGCTTCAACTTCACGTCTCCACTTGATTCTGTCTTCCTTCTGCTGTACTTTTCACCTCCATCCATGTTAGTCCATGCTGTTCCAACTCCTCTTCAGACAATCTCCTCCATGTCACCCACCCTTGCACCGACGTCCCACTCGCCGCTTCCCTTTCGGCCTGGTTCCACTCGAGCAATGGCCTGACGCATGCGCGATTTCACCCAGCGGCCCTTCAGCGACTGTCCAATCCATCCATCTCCACTTTCTCCTGCATATTTGTTGGTTGGCGATTGGTTCTTGTTTTGTTTGTTCCAAGCCATAGTTTCTTGTTGGTGATTCTTTCCGGCCCGGCCATCTGATCTCCAGTATAGATTCAGCGAAGACAGTTGTTGGTTGATAAAGGTCTGCAACAGGCTGTTGGAAATATTCTTTGTGACCAGCCTGCCAAGTTTCTGGTCCGTATAGAAGAGCTGACTGAATTGACGTTTGTATTGAAAATCCGATCGAATTTTGTTGTTGATGCTGAGTGACGAAGATTTCCAGATTGGTTTCATGTTGATGAATGTGTTTCTCGCCTTCCCGATTCTCGATTTGACATCCTCGTCCGTTCCTCTGGCATGTAGTTGAGACAATGCTCAATGCTAGATAAGTGAGTGAATGAAGTAATCTCTTTCAAATCCCTCCCGTTTATGGTGATTGGCGCTGGATGTTGCTGTTGTTGTTGTTGGTTGGCTATTTTCATAACTTCCGTCTTGTCTATGTTCACCTGGAGTCCTGTCTTCACTGTCTGCTTCTTCGACCAGTTTGTCGGTTTTCGCTTGTAAGTCTTCGACTTTGTGTGACATCAAACATAAATCATCCGCAAAATCCAGATCTTCTAGATTCTTCACGTTGGTTCAGAATATCCCTGTCTTCTCGTTTCCCATTGTCTGACGCATAATCCAATCCACCACAATTAGGAATATCATTGGTGATAGTAAGCACCCTTGTCTGACTCCTGTGTTCACTCCAAACGCCTCGCTGAGTTTTCCGTTGTGAATCACTTGACATGTGACGCTGTCGTACAGCTGTTGAATAAGGTTGATGAATATTTGGGGCACTGTACGCCGTAGTACTCGAGTAGTTTCCAAATTACTTCGCGGTCAACGCTGTCGAAGGCCTTCTCAAAGTCTACAAAGTTGAGGTAGAGGTTTGATTGCCATTCGATGCTTTGTTCGATGATGATGCGTAGAGTTGCAATTTGGTCAATATATGATTTGCCTATCCTGAATCCAGCTTGTTCTGATCGGAGTTGTGTATCCAGTGCCTCCAAAATTGTCTCCAGGATGATGCGACTCAGGATTTTACTTGGCGTAGACAGGAGCATGATTCCTCGTCAGTTCTTGCAGAGTGAGGCCTAAGTTGCCCTTCTTGGTAGTTTCATGAGGTAACCTTTCCTCCAGTCAGTAGACACCTTTCCCTCCTTCCACACCTTTCGCAATAATGGAGTCAGCATATCTGCTGTCGTCTGTGGGTCCGCTTTTAAATGCCTCAGGGGTTTTTCTATCTGGTCCAGCTGCTCTTCCATCTTTCAGGAGCTTGATTGCATTCAAGACTTCAGCTTTCGTTGGAGGATTGGTGTCAACTTACAGTTGTGTGCGCGCTGTTGTTGGTATTTCTGGACGGGTTGCAGGTGTTGTTCGGTTCAAGAGTCCTTTGAAGTGATCCGCCCATTGTTTAATCCGTCTTTCTTCCTTGGTAATTGGGTTCCCTTGGCTGTCTTTTATAGGTTTCACTTGTGTTGATCTCTTCCCGGATAGAGATTTGGTTATCTGATATAATGTCCTCAGGTCCCTTTTTCCTGCTATCTTCTCAGCTTCAGTGGCGAGGTTGTCGTAGAATTGTCTTTTGTCCTTTCTAGCACTTTTCTTCACTTCTTTGTCCAGTGCTGTGTAAGTTCAGCTCAGCGTCTCTATTTCTTGTCCGTCTGTATTGAATCATTTTCTCTTTCACCATTCTCCTCTCTTCTATTAGTTTTCAAGTGTCCGTTGAGAGCCATTCTTGTCTTGTCTCTTCTTTCTTCCTGGAACCGTTGAACACATTTCGTTGAAAATCACCTTCAGAGAGTTCCAATGTTCTTCCACGCATGATTCTTCAGTGATATCACGTGGTGTTTCCTGCTTTGTTCTGACAGTTGCAGTGAAAGTGTCTTTTGTGGTTGTGTCTTTCAGTAATTGAGTGTTGAACTTGCATTGTGGCGTATCTCCAGCTACCCTCGAGGCTTTTAGCTTCACCTTGAAATTCCCTTGTACTAGATAGTGGTCTGAACCCACATCTGCTCCTCTCCTCGACCTTGTGTCCAGTAGGCTCCGTCTCTGGTTCCTTGAGATTGAGATGAAGTCTATTTGGTTTTTGGTATTTCCATCTGGTGAAATCCATGTCGCCTTGTGTATATCCTTGTGTTTGAACACACTGCCACCAATCATCAAATCATTGAAGGCACAGATGTCTGAGGTGAGTTCACCATTGTCGTTCATTTCATCGAGGGCCCCACAACCCATGGTGAGTTCTCTTCCTGTATTGTCTCCTCCCAGCTTCGCATTCATATCACCCATCAGGATTTTGATATCGCCATTCGGGTCGTTGTCCATTACTGTTGTGCATACAGACTTGTATTTCAGTATAGCTATCGGCGATTCACTGTTCGTTAGTTATCGAACGCAGTTTTAACAAAAAGGAGAAAAGATGTCAATAATTAGCCACTGGTCAACTCTTTAGTTTCTTTTATGACTGACTCATAACTAGTAGAAAAAATTATTGGGAATTTTCAAACACTGATCTTTACCATAAACATTTCCAACTTGAATGGTCTGTCTGTTTTCGACATAGAACTTGAATGGAGCATAATATATTTAAGAAGACAAGCATAGTGTGAGAGAATGACTTTTATCAGCTAATAAAATTACGCCTTACTGTTATGGTGTAACAACAGAAGACAAGGGCCAGGCAACAAATCGTTTATTTAGGAAATCAACAGATATTTGTAGTCAAGTATTGGTTTGTAGGGATTTGGTTGATTGGTTACGGGATTTCATCATGAGTTGACATTGGTTAGAGAACCACTTATAGATTTTCATGTACATTATTATAGATTATTATAAGCAAACAAACACAGTCTTTTTATTGGTGGTTTCTCGTTGAACGTTAATCTTCCATCTCTTTATGGCTGTTTCTTGAAGTTCAGATTATCTATCTGCAAATTGTATCTGCCTACGCAAAGTCTGCTGTGATTGGTTGCTGAATCAGTTTTTGTTCTTATTTTTCTCACGATTAATATTGCGGATGTAAACACTGACGTAAATTACTGTCTACCAATTTGGCTAGCAGCCAGCTCTCACCACAATAGTACTTCAATAAATTCAGTTTTCGGCACTCCTGCATGCATTCTTATGCTTACCATAATTGTTGTATGTAATTACACTTACCAGTATGCATTTTCCTCTCCTGATTTCATTTTCCCTGACAGTCTATTGTTTCTGACGCTTCCAGATTTCATTTTCTTTATTCCTTTACGTTCCTAGTGGTGGAACAGGGCTCCAAGCTAGAGGCTTGGAGTTTCGGTAGCTATTTATTATTTAATATATACACCTCATAAGTGGTTTTAATCCAAACATTTTGTGTTTATGATTGCGAGGTTACCTATATAAGATTATCTGCTTATATCTCGTCATGATATTTTCTACTTATTATCCTTGTAGATACAAGAAAAGTTCTCTTCACATTTAGTCAGCATTCTTCCACAGTTGAAGAAGTCACATCTGACTTCAGATTTAATTCACCAACTGCACCAGCTATTAGTTTCAATAACAGAACGTCAACATGCCTTGCATATGTCAGCAGCACAAGCTTATGCCACATTTCTTACTATAGTGGATCGGTCTGGTGTACCTGAAAATTCGCTCTTCTATAAGCCAATCACCCAATTAGATATCAAAACAAGTAAGTTTAAATAGATGCATGATTCACATTTTGCAAAACAACAGGGGAAAACTCACTGAATATCTAGTTTATCACAGATCCAAAAACAGTGAACCTATTCGAACTATTCTTTTACTGTAGGTGTTTCACTTGCAAAAGTAACTAGTGGAAGTATTTCTAGATAAAGGAGAAACGAATGATAATCTTAACAAGATCACCGAAAATACCCATTTAGTCATGAAGAAAATAAAAGACAGATTCAGCGCGAAGAAAATTTTCTTTATCGACAAAATCATCTTCAGACTCGGCTGTACAGTCGTATTTATACTTAGAAAAATGTATAGTGAGTAATACGGGGTGATATAATTGGTATAATTAATCATAAGTAGCTTTAGAAGTGAAAAGAATTAAAAGTTGTAAATGGCATGGTACTCAACGGAACAAAGATAGAAGTTTGATAAGGTTAAAATTGCTATTGAGTGAGAATAAAGGTATTTGAGTGTCAATTTAACAAGTGTGAAGAGGGTGTGAAAATATACAAAAGGAGCATATGAGATTGATAATAGTGAATTAATTATTAAAGCAAACTAAAAGTAAAATTAAAAATTAAGAACAAAAGAAAAAATCAAATTTTTTTTACAGGGAACGATTAGTGAAGAGGTTAAGACCAAGGTAGAATAAGAGACTGGACAAACTTTTTCTGTATACAGATTTCGGGTTGTATTGATGAATTGCCAGCGCCTCCGTCATACATAAAAGCCGAAACCTGACGCCCTTTGTACCATTTGGCTTCACTTTGTAGATGGTGTTGAAAGACGTCCCTGGTGGTGCTCGAGAATTGAGCTAGTAATTGTCTTGCATTGTCCCTTTACTAACCATGCCGGATAATGTTCAGAGATGCGTTTGGAAAGCGTGCGCTTTGTGTGGGCGGTCAATATAACTAGCTCTACACGAGCAGGTGAATTTATAAACACACATTGTGGTGGCCCAAAGCTGCAGTTTATCCTTCACACACCCGTTGATCATTTGTCGGCTGTAGAAATTGATACGTAGCCCAGCCGTAAAGGAGGCTTTCCTCAGTGATCTGCATAAGTGATTCTTCAGGATCTCAGCTGTGGTATCACCTTTAAATTCAACACTCATAAAGAGCAGTTTCTTGGATTGTATTGGCCATACTCTGAGGAAATCATCAAGTGACATCGCTAGACAAATCCTCGAGTGGAACCCGAAAGGGAAGCGACGAGTTAGTCGTCCAAGGGTGACTTGGAGGAGGTCATGTGAAGAGGAGATGAAAACATGTGGGCAGACCTGTAGCCAGGTGAAAACTTTAGCAGAGAACCGAACGCAATGGAGACGTGCAGCTTGAAGCCGTGTGTTCCTCTAGGAATTAAAGGAAATAATAATAATAAAAAATAATTTTGCAGTTTATAAAATATGTAAACATTTCTTTTAATCGGACGTATTTGTGTCTTTTTAATTTAGCAACTTTGAAATTTCTGGATTTGTTGTGCTGTCCGTCTCGTAAGCTGAGAAGCATGATTTCTGGTTTCCTAGATCAAACCAATCCAGTACTACAGGAATTCTGTCAAAGTCATTCTTTGGATGTAGATAAGAGTGAATTTCAACAAACAAAAACAATTACTTCCAGTTCAACATTAGGTGGTCCAACAGTCTGGGAAACCTGTTTACCTCAAGTTCTGATTCAGTTAGGTTTACCAGATGATATGATTCGAGACTGTTTAGTTGCACTACTGAACCGACTTATCATTATTGATAATGAAAATGTTAGTTCCAAATGGAGTTCTCCGTCTTACCGTCTTGCAGCCCAACTGGTTTTTCCGGCTGTAGTTGCTGCATCAAATCCTGTTACCACAAATATTGGACAAAAATGTATGATTATAGGAAAAAGTATTTTATATTTTAAATGTCATAAATTCATATAGCTGCTGTTTGCATTTGTTTGGTTAGCTTTGTGTACATGTCACTCTTACGTAGTAATCTTATACTGAAAATCGCACATTATATCAGTTTTCCTTATAAAAATCAAACATGGACGGATTTTCACTCGAGGTTAGACGTCGAGTATACTAGGTAAGGAGGGAAAATCGATACACGGGGCTGTAAAGTTACATCATTTGAGATGGTTAGGACATATGTTACGCATGCCTATCCATCGCCTTCCTTGACGGGCAATGTTAGCTGTGACATAGGGTCAGGTTGGAAAAGAGCCAGTGGTGGTCAAACCAAAACATGGCCTCATCAGTCAATGAAATCCACAACAGTTAATTTAAGCCAACCACGTAGGAAGTTGTAGACTTCCTGGTTGACGTCTTCGGGATGGTAAACACCAATAGGTGGAGACAATCGGTAACGTGGTTCAAAATCGTTATCAATGGCGCGACTGCATCCACTTTTTTGACTTATAATACCCCAAAAAACGATATTGTTCTTCGATATTACTACTCGTCACTCAGCATCAACAACAAAATTCGATCGGATTTTCAATACAAACGTCAAGTCAGTCAGCTCTTCTATACGGACCAGAAACTTGGCAGGCTGGTCACAAAGAATATTTCCAACAGCCTGTTGCAGACCTTTATCAACCAACAACTGTCTTCGCTGGATCTATACTGGAGATCAGATGGCCGGGCCGGAAAGAATCACCAACAAGAAACTATGGCTTGGAACAAACAAAACAAGAACCAATCGTCAACCAACAAATATGCAGGAGAAAGTGGAAATGGATGGATTGGACAGTCGCTGAGGGGCCACTGGGTGAAATCGCGCATGCGTCAGGCCATTGCTCGAGTGGAACCAGGCCGAAAGGGAAGCGGCGAGTGGGACGTCGGTGCAAGGGTGGGTGACATGGAGGAGATTGTCTGAAGAGGAGTTGGAACAGCATGGACTAACATGGATGGAGGTGAAAAGTACAGCAGAAGGAAGACAGAATCAAGTGGAGACGTGAAGTTGAAGCCCTATGTTCCACTAGGAACCCAAGGGAACAATAATAACAATATTACTATTCTTTCTGCCTCATATCCCTCTTTACTGTCTCTATTTTGCATCAACTTTTACTTTCTTCTCTGGCTTTGTGTACTGAGTGAAGTGTGGCGACTCGAACTACTGCACATCAGTGCAAAGTTCTATGTTGAAGTCAGCCAGTCAGAATTAGCATATTTTGACGTCATTTTCTAATTGAAGATAACTAACAGTACAAATTACGTGCATTACAGTCTGGCTGTTTGATGCAAATGTTTTTTTTAAAATAAGCCAGACATATTTGATGTGATGATATCAAGCTCAAGGAAAACGATTGATCACATGTTATTTCATTTTATTGTAGATATGTTACCGGATGTGACTCTAGCTGAATTCGACACCTTAAAAATAGAATTAGTATCAGGGAAACTTATTGTTAATTTACAATATAAGAATGATATATATATATATATATATATATATATATATATATATATATATATATATATATATATATATAAATTGTCCTTTGAACACAGCATGAATTTGCGATATTCCTAGCACTGGCGTTAACTCCCTAATTGATTAGTTAGTCTGTTAATGTCATCACATAGCCATTTTGTTCCTTCTTTTCAATATTTTTTAGGCAATTCTCCTTATTTTACGAACAGTCCTGATCATACAAGTTCTGTAAGTGCATCTATCTTGAAGCCAAAAGTCGATCCATCTCATTCATTTTCACAAATAGTAGCAGCTTTGAAGAGTTCAGGTTTAGGTGATCTTGTTGAACGTGTAGAAATTTTTACCTATGAACTACAGCGTATTACTGTTCTGTGGGAAGAATTATGGCTGGGTTCATTAGTACAGCACTTGGATGAACTGTCAAAAAAGGTAATTAATATCATGATCGCTATTATTATTATTATTATTATTATTATTGTGGTAATTACCTCCTAATGACAGCTGTTTTCTTTTTGTATTTCTTGCTACTTTTATGCCTCGCTTACCCAATAAGATAATCCTAATGTTTAGAATGACATGTAAATCCATACTTATGTAAACAGTCTAAATTGTTGGCACTATACTGTAATTCACGTATTCCCTAAAAATTCAGTCATCAGAGTTAATGCATTTTCTGGTCATTGAATATACTTCATTGTATCGGATAAGCTCTCTTCATCTTCTTTTTAGACAACATTTTCAGCTAAGATTTCAAAAGAAAGTGAATTTATTTGAATTTTGTGTGAATTACATAATTATTATTCCTCTGGATGACCTTGGTTGCTCTGTCAGTCGTTAATTTGCATTGGCATCAATCCTTTTTATTGACTTGGGATTTGGCTTTTTTTTGTCTTGACATTTTCGGTACTTCCTTTGTCTGGGATTCGTATATTTCCTCAGTTGAATTGGTGGGTGTTCTGAGTTGTCAGTGTACGTTTCATCGACTGGATTGGATACCATGTCTTTTGACAAGTATTTTGTCTTCGTGGACGCCAAAATGAAAAGAACATCCAACTTGAACAATATAATATTCTTCACGGATGTTGTAGAGGATATTGGTTTTGTGTCCTTTCATCGTTTCATCTTTTTGGTTAACATTAATTTGATTTTGTCAGTTTGTGAACGACAGCTATTTCAAAAGGTTTCAACAGTCTAGAAGTGATTTCTGTACAGTAGTTGATGCATAACTGCAGAGTCGACTGCATTACAGGTTCTGCATTCTAAAAACTAGATATGTTTTTTTTCTCACCATCTCAGAACACTTATTCTACTATTTCAATAATTTGTAGATAAACATTTTGAAGTTGGAACTGGAACGCGCTGGACAAACAGATGTATACAAAAGTGTTAGCTATTTGAAGGCATTATCTAAACATGCATCCACCAATGGACTTCTCTCAGATGAAAACGAGAACACACTTTCACAATCAAGTGATGTAACCACAGATGATATTGTTGCTTCATTGTCAGTGTATGATACTGAAGATAAACTGGTGACGCATAAAGAGTTTTCAGAGGCTATTACTCGAGCGAAGTATATTGCTACATTTCAACCAACTCTTGATTTGATATCACAACTGAATGCTTTAACCATGCACGTGAAACCTGAAACTCCCCATGAAGAATGGTTCCAAAAGACTTTCGGGCAGGTAAGATTTTTGTTTCTATATTTTTCGTCTTTCATACACTACGAATTTTGTGCGTTTGAAGTTTATTCACTTGCGTAAAAAACTTGGAAAAGTTAGATTTAATATTCTCCTTGCCGGAAGATGTAAACTGTGTAAACTGTACCTATCTATCGTAACTCGGTAATCTAATGATGAATATCATTTGACGATGAATTCTAGCCTTCAATCTTATTGGGTTTATCACAATCATGTTACCGAATAAGATTTTCTATATATCAGATTCTAGTAATTTTTTAGCTTTCCAGAATAATTATACATGTACAAGTCAATTACCAGCTATCAGTTAATATACACTAAGCTGTCTGTCACCCACAGGTTTGTGTTGCTTACGAATTCACATAGTACATTAAACTAGCGTTTTCAGATGGTAGCGATTGTTCAATAATCTAGTGTTCGAACGTGGCCCTATTCAGGTAGGTTATAGTGAGAAGTCGTGACCAGTAGGGTGCACCTGGTTGGGTGTGAGGACAAATACTCACCGAAGACATTCGCTAGGGGTAGCGCTATGTCGTGAATTGGCAGAAGTTAGAATTCATGGGCCATTGGATCGGGACATGTGTTACGTATGCCAAGTCATCGCCTCCCTCGACGAGCAATGTTTGCGGATATAGGGTCAGGCTGGAAAAAAGCTAGCGGCGGTCAAACAAAAACTTGGCACCAGTCAATGAAATCCACAACAGTTGGTCTAAGCCACGTAGGAAGGTGTAGACTTCCAGGCTAAGGTCCTCGGGACGGTAAAAATCAATGGTTGGAAACAATTGGTGACATGGCTCAAAATCGTTCTCAGCGATGGCTGGCGCTGATGCATCCACTCCTTGTGATTTATGATCTCCAATGAAACTGTTTTGTTCTTCGTTATTACTCTTTCTTTGTCTCACACCTCTGCTTACTGTCTCTATTATGCTTTTCTTGTACTTTCTTCTCTTGATTTGTGTGCTACATGGAGTGTGGCGACTTGAACTGGTGCACATTTGTGCAAAGTTCTATGTCGAAAACAGACAGACAGACAGAGATTGGATCGGGTCCTAGTGGCTCAACGGTATACGAGCTCACCTTGTAACCAGGAGGTCCTGGGTTCGAACCAAGGGGGGGCGTACTGATGAAGAGTCCCAAACTAGGAGTAAACAGCTGTCCAGTACTCCCAGGTTTTCCAATGGTTCTCTAAGCAATGTCAGCTCATGATGAAATCCTGTAAACCAATCAAATCCCTACAACCCAACACTTGAACATTAAGTTATTGTCTTTTTGATTGGCTGTTAAACACACATACTTTGTGTGTTATTGATGTAAGTATAAAACTTGACCACTGTGCTAGTAGAGTATAACTCCATTATGGATAAGATTTTATTTTTGATAGTGTCACAGTAGTGTTGTACAATAATATTAACTGATGACCACGTTTCGAGCACAAACTATTGCCACTCATAATCATATCAAGTTACTCACACAAATTTATTTCCTTCATTTATACACATGTATGGAATCCATTAGATATTGGAATACAATCAGTATGAGATTAATGTACATTTAGAAATAATAACACTAGTGTTATTGACCAATTACAATTAGATGGGAAATAAGACGAATGTCTTTTATAGTCATAATAAGTTATTTGTTAGAATGTTGTGATGTGTTTGAATTGAAATAGAATTTTAAGATTATTTATTATCCTCTTCTGATTTGACCGACGGTAATAATATCTTCCATATTTCTGGTATTTTCATTGAGTCGTTTCTATTGCATGTGTTGGGTGTAGACTCCATGAACCAGGCAGGATTCAGTAATCAACCTCCGTCTGTCTCCACCTACCTAGATTACTTTTTGGAATTTTAACCCTATCCCACCCACCCTATTGTGTGGTTGTTTGTTAATGCGTGAAGTGCAATCGCTTCTGAGCTTTTTTTTAAATTACTTATCTTTTCAGGATCAACCATTATTCCCTTAGCTAAATTCTTATGTTCTGATAATCTAGCTACACTCGTATTATTATTTCTGAATGTACATTATCTCATACTGATTTTTAATCCAATATATAATCGATTCCAAACATGTATATAAATGAAGGAAATAAATTTGTGTGTGTTCATGTTAATAGTTTTATATTTTAGTTAATTCGTCTTTATCATACTGTCACTTTGTCACCACATAATTGATAATTACAGTTTCTGCTAACATACATATCGCAATGCTACGTGTGATGTTTAGAGTTGCCACACCTCATATTTGCACTTCACTTCCACTGCATATTTACTAACAGTACCGGATACCGAGTCTTTTGGTAACTACTTTAGTATGATTTATATATATACTGTCATATCATATACATATATATCATAATAAAATATAATACTAGTGATAAAGTGATTTTTATTCTTATAATATTCTAGGCGATTAACGAACTACAAGAAACCTTGTCACAACCGGCAGATCCTAAAGATGTGAAAGAACCTATTTTAATTACTCGTCGACTCATCCAGCAGCTTCAAACGTCACATCGATCATCATTTTCTCAAATTCATACTGTTTTTCGTGGAGGAGAAGCTCCAGATATTGATATTAAAGTATCAGATAACAATATTGCTTACTTACATCTTCGTCAGCTTAGTCCTCGACTTTCAAATATGCATTTTGAAAATTGTATGATTTCATCAGATAAACTAACTTGCGGTATCCCACTGCCTGGTCATTTTGGAATAGAAGCTTCTCATTTAGGTAATAGCATTACTATTCTTCCAACGAAAACGCGTCCCAAGCGTTTACTGCTTAGAGCACAGAACGGTCGTACGTATCCTTATCTTTTAAAAGGTTTAGAAGATTACGCCTTGACGACCGTATAATGCGTTTGTTTGAGATTACAAATCTTGCTGCAGTTCAGTTGTCATCAAACGGTTATGGTCATTGTGAAAATATGTTGGCTCGAACTTACTCTGTTACTCCCTTGGGTGTACGCTCTGGTCTTTTGCAGATGGTACAGGGCGCTGTTCCTCTTTACAGTCTCTATAAAAAGTGGCAAATAAGAGCTAATAAGCTGTCAGCTAACAATTCTTACGTGTCTTCCACAACTGTGATTCCAAGACCTGGTGAATTGTTCCATGCTCGCCTGAAAGAATTGCTGCATGCATCCGGTCAGCAATATCAGTACCAGTCTCGCTCTCACTGGCCTTTGGAGACGTTACGAAAAGTCCTCACTTCTTTGGAGGCCGAAACGCCAGCAGACTTGTTAACTCGTGAGTTGTGGGCTTCCAATCCGTCTTGTGCTAGTTGGTGGAGGGTTTCACGTGCGTTTGCTAAGTCGGCTGGATTGCTTAGCAGTCTAGGATATTTAGTTGGTCTTGGTGATCGACATCTTGATAACCTTCTCATCGATTTATCAACTGGACATATCGTGCACATCGATTATAATGTATGCTTTGACAAGGGTAAAAGTTTAAAGGTGGCTGAAAGAGTTCCGTTTCGGTTGACAAGGATTTTGAGACATGCACTTGGACCTGCAGCCCAAGATACATCAGTACGGGGATCTTCCGGTTTTCAGCAGAGAATGGTTTACAAGCTGCTCGTCATATAGTGGATCCTTTACTAATACAACTCAAGGCCTTTTTGATAGAGCCCTTAGTCGACTGGCAGAATAAGAAACATCCACTAATAATTCTCAAGTTGTGACTGATTTTATTCACTTGTCTGCCTTTCATGGGGGAGGGAGCACCAGCTCTAGGCATTACCACTCATTGTCGGCTAACCGACGGCTGCGACGTATTGATTCAGAACTTCGTATGTATTCAGGTCTACTTACCTTACGACTCGTTGAACTTAGCCACAGTTCATGTTTGGATTCAGTATTTTCTCTTCTGGACTCCCTTATTTCGCGCTTAGCTGTGTGGACGGAACTAACAAAGGCTCGTCAGCATGCATCACTTCAGAATAATCGTTACATAACTTTGCAAAATGCTGCTCGTGATGATTTATTATCTTCTGAGCGTCACTGTCAACAAGTGGAACAGAGTGAACGAAAAGTTGAAGAATTGTATGGAAAAATTTCTACGCAAAATAATTTTTGGATGGATGAAGTCTTATCACACTTTCAAATTTTAGTCACCTACTAATCCCGAATGGTTGCCACTTTTACTAGAATCTAATAAGGTGTCAAGTTCTCCACTTGTCACTGCTTTATCAAACTATCACTCAATTGCTCGAATTTATCTTGGGAATTCGGAGTTTACGCATTCAATGGCTTTATGGTTGGAGGAAATAAAGCAGTTCCACTCACAAATGAACATTTTAATTCAATCATCACAGAGTGACATTGACTCTATAGTGACTTTCATCTCATCGAACACACCACAGTTTAGTAGTCACTTTGATTCAAAACTAGCTTCTTTACTGGAACAAGCAACCAAAAACAGTTTTAATGATTTATCTGAATTACGCAGACTTAGAGATGAAAATATAAATACGCATCGTGGTTATTTCAATTCGGATAGCGTTATCCATGAAGTCGATAATTTGAATTTATTCATCTGTGATCAAGGTGCTGATGGAGTAACTGCCTACAGCTGGGCCTTATTGGATTATGTTTTAAGTATCGCAAGCAATTCACTTGCTCTTGAGGTCAAGTTTGACGAATGGAGGGAAGCCAGTAGCTGCCGAAGTGATAGAAGTAACCTAAAAGCTCTTCCGTTACATCCACTCAGTGCCTATGCAGACTGCTTAGTAAATTTATTCACCGTTCTTGGTCACCAGCCTACTGGCGTTTGGAACTTCAGTGCTGGTTATGAAGCAGACGTAAGAAGAGAACTATCGTTTCTTTTAGCTGTCAGAGATTCCGTTTCTTGTATAAGTCAGTTGCATGCTAATCTAACACGACTACTTGTTCCTGAAGCCATGACGGCTCTTATAACAGCAAAGTTTCCATGGTGAGCGATTTCTGCAGATTCGTTATGCGTCACATAAACGAGTCAAATACAAGTAATCTCAAAAACCTCGTAGATGATTTCATTTTAAAAGATCCAGTCTCAGATAATCAAGGTGATTTGCAACTGCATCATGTTCTTGTTGCCGTTCATCTTGCTCTCACAAACGCCACTGCTCAAATGGAGGAGATAGCTGAACGAGTTCGTTCATGTACTATTACAGCCTTGGCATGGTACTATGTTGATATTATTTCCAAATTAACCAGTGTTCTTGTGCCAAAGAGTTTAGAAGGTGCGACATCTTTGTGGAAATGGGAGTTAAGTAGATCGAACCGACTGTCAGGTGGAGTTACGCCCTGTTCATGGACTGACGAAATATATACTTCTGGGATGATGGCATTTGTTTCCATACTTGAAGATGGACTAATCCACTGGCATGCAATACAACATGGTTCTGTAAATAATGTCAGCGATTTGAATTTACAATCGTTCAATGATCCAATAAATTATTACATTGGTCGTTTGTCATCGCGTATTGCACTAGCAAGCATGGTTGGATTAGCATCCGGTCGTCTTTTCTGTGCACTTGTAGAAAATACAGGACTATCTATTCGCAGGCTGCTAGCTGAAAATGAGCCACCAAATAATGCAGGCGGTATACCAGATGTGTTAATCTTATCTGCAGAAAAGATAATTGAAAGTGTTAATGTACACATGTCAATTACTCAGTCAGTCAATGTGCAGCATCTCAGGCGTCCTGCAGCTAACCTTATTCATCGACTCGTTACTCGTTCAGATCAAGAAAGTCAGTTTTCAGTCGACGTGGCTGCACTCGAAGCAGCAGAACAACATTACAAACATCTTCGTTTGAGCATGTCAGCGTACAATTGGAGGCATATGACACAAGAAGATGAGAAGTCAGCGCCTTACCAACATGATGATCCATGCTTTTCTTTAGCAAATGTTCTTGATTCAATTAGAGATGCCACAAAATCAGAAAGTGTATCCACTGAAGGGGTGTCCGGAGTGTCGGTGGATTCAATCGCTTTATCTATCTGTTACATTGAAACATGGAGAGTCAAGTATGTTTATTTTTTTTCCTTTGAAATTATATTGCATTACATTTTCCTGGGATTTACCTATGGGGAAATTAAGTGTACGAAAATCGATTCGTCCAACATACTGCTAAAGCCTGTTCCACATTTTCCATTTTAGTAAAGTTGACAGTAGTATAGATTCCTTTATACTTTCGTGGAATTTTTTCTCGTCATGCTCAAGAAAATAAGTGTGGTTTTTGCATAAAATCATCTAAATATAGAGACAAATGGATGTCTCGTATATGGACGTTGTAATGTACAATAAAATTTCACACCCACATATTTTACGTGATACGTCCTCAGTCAATGTAAAATAGTTTATTTTTGAAATATGCCTTAGTCGCGCTATTCTCCTAAGTTTGTATTATGTGTATGTACTCACCTAACTATTTTAGTGCTAAATGTATGTTTTATGAATCTACATAAGTAGTGACTCATAAGAAACTCATAAGACAATTGGTCAGACTCATAAATATCTTCTGAGAATGGAGATTCTAACATATAGTCGGAAAAATATTTTTTTAACACAAAACTGTCTGTCAACTTACACTGTTCCAGTGGACGTTCTGATTCTAGATTATATTGACTGATTTTCTCAGAATATTCAACAACTGTCTAGAACTGTCTGTCTGTCTGGATTCAACATAGAACTTGCCACCGAAGTGCAGCACTTCGAGTTGCCACGTTCCAAATAGCACACAAAGGTAGACAAGAAGATGAGTGAAGAGAATCAATAGAGTTTGACAGGTGTAAGAGCGAAACAGAATGGGTAATGGTAGAAAGAAATATGAAAGATTACAGAGACTGAATACATCTGCGCTGGCCATTGACAGCGATTTTGAGCCATATCACCTATTGTCTCCAGCCATTGATTCATAGAGTCCCGAGGACCCCAACCCAGAAGTCTGCATCTCCCTACCTGACTCAGTTTAACTGTCAAGGATTTCATGGATTGATGAGGCCATGTTTTTGTTTGGCCACCACTTACTCTTTTCCAACCTGCACCGATATCAGCAAATAATGCCCGTCGGGGGGGGGGGGGCTATGGTTAGGCATGGGCAGAACGTGACCTAGCCATCTCAATTTATGTAGCTTTATAGCCTCGTCGATTGATTTTCCCTGTTTGCCCAACACTCTACGCCTAACATCAACATTACTTATCTTATTAAACCACCTAACGTGAGAAAGAGATCGCAGACATCTATGATCGAAAGCAGTCAACCTTTTCATGTCTTCAACTCGTATTGGCCATGTTTCAGAGCCATGGAGAAGGACGGAGCGAAGTGCTGAGCAATACACACGTCCCTTGGTTGATAACCGGATGTCACGCCTACGCCAGAGATGGTGTAAGTTAGCGAAAGCAGCTCGAGCTTTTTGTATCCGTGCTGAGATTTCGTCGCCAATCAGTGCGTTGGTGCTGATACAACTTCCCAAATAGGTGAAGTGGTCAACATGTTAGAAATAAGTCAACTCAAGTTTACGGTCTGTTAAAACTAAATATTCATTTGACGCAGGCGAACGTGGTGACTTAAGTGTATGTATAAGAATTCTATCATACTCAAATCATCACTTGTTGTTGCAAAGCCAGACAGGTTTTCTAACTCACTTTAAGTAGTCTGCTGTTTATTCCAAGCATTCAATTTAATATAGTATTAGTAAATTTCAACGTTTACTTTTCAGTGGTCTTAGCAAATGTCCTTCATTCTTAAAATGCGTGGATTTGATTAATGAACTAAAGGCAACAAAAGAACAGAAAGAAAAACTTACGTCGGAGTTTAGTGAATTGGATAGGATTGTTTGTACAATCAAGGTGGGTATTTACATACTTTTATAACTGTATGTATGTATGCTTTAGTTTATTATGTAGTATATCAATAATAAAGAGTCTCATATCAGCAGTTAAATGTAAAAATGCCTAGTAAGTAAATATGGCCCATAAAGCTTCTCGATAACAATTAGATAGATGTTGTCATTCGTTGCAGTTTAGGACTACAGCTAATGCATATAATCAGCAGAACAGCAGGGAAATGTTTTTTTTCTGCATAGACATTGCTCTGACAAGTGAGCGTTCAGTTCATTTCATTTCGGTTATGTGAGAGAGACATTTGTGATTGGAGCAGTTCAAGTCTTAACTTGAATATGCTACATTGGTTTATTTTTATCAATAGTCAAAATTAATACAATTTAAACTAGGACGAAACAGCTGTCCAATACTCTCAGCTGGTTTTCCAGTGGTTCTCTAACTAATGTCAGCTCATGGTGAAATCCTCTATGCAATTAAACAAAAAATCCCTACAAAACCAATACTTGAAAATTAATCTGATGCTCACTACTAGTGACTGGTTCTATTCAGGTAGTTAACCTGGGGTTCTAGTGGGAAGCCGTGACCAGTAGGGTACAGCAGTTTGAAGATGAGGCAGTAACTCATCGAAGAAGACATTGCGAAGTGGTCGCGCTATATCGTGAATTGGCAAAAGTTAGAACTCAAGGACCATTGGATCGGGTCTCAGTGGCTCAATGGTCTACGAGTTCGCTCGCCTTGTAACCAGAAGGTCCTGGATTCGAACCTCGGTGGGTGCGTACTGCTAAAGAGTCCCAAACTAGGACGAAACAGCTGTCCAGTACTCCCAGGTTTTCCAATGGTTCTCTAACTAATATCAGCTCATGGTGAAATCCTCCATGCAATTAAAACAAACAAACGGAGTTGTCATCTTAACAAAAAAACTATAGATTATGTATATTTGCTAACAAAGTAAAAATAACAATTCACTTATTTCAATATCTTTTTTCAGGATGCCTATGCATTAGATTGGCCAATACTCAACTGGTTTCCTTCATCTGACACAAATATGAAATCCGATTTGTTTGATCGTTTTAAAGGTGACCTTGATTCAGCTGAGTTGGCAGTCGAAAAATTACAACAGTGTATGACGCTTATAAAACAAGAATTCATCGATATGTGTTCGAAATCGGATTCAGTGAATGATGATCACTTTAACAATTCATTATTGCCTGTTGTAGTATCAAAACGAGCCAATCGTAACTTACATCATTCAAAGTCAAATATGCTGTCTGTTTTACAGCCCTCAGTTTCACCATCTTTAAGTTCTGATATCTCAGCGGATTCTAAACAACCTACAATACTGACGTCACTGCGATCGCATTTGACTACATTACAAAAAGAAAAATTGTCTGACATTCGACAATTTGTTAAGTGTCTCAGCCGTTATGATTCTATCCGATCATCTTTATTGTCCTCCAGCCAGGTTTCAGTCAACGAAGCATGCTCACCTGCATCAAATTGGAGTATTTGGCTAGATAATCATCAGAATTGGACTACACTGGTCGTAAATATGCTAAAGAATCTTTCAAAATTAATAACATCATTTTCTGTATCATCGAAAAGTTCCGTTTCTGAGTCAGAATCAATCTGTGAAGGAATGGATGAGACGGAATTTGCAATGACTGTCAATCAAGAATGCATACTTGTTAAGTATAAGCTTATAGTGGAATTGATTTTACCACTCTTGGTTGAAGTTAATGAACATGTTACTTCCAATTCATATCTATACAATTCCCTTAAAGGCTTTTTGCAGATACTCAATACGCACTTCAAAACTATCGAGGAAACTTTCCTCAGTGAAATTAAAGAGTTAACAATAGAAAATGTACAATCAGTAAATACAGAAAAAGTAAAACAGGTAAGCAGCCAACTGTAGTTTTTCTCACTCATACTATATGTATCCTATTTTTACAGAGGTATGAAATATAACCTACACTGTGGTTTTTTTTTTGCTTCACAGAAGACTGTTTCGGGAAGGTCACTGATGAACAGGATGGCTTTATCTGTTTGGAATCGAGTTTATGATCGTTTGCATGGATTCGATTCATTTCTTCCTATGGCTGATGTCAATGAACCGATGTCAATATGCACTCAAATCGATGCATGCATCCGTCAAGCCACTGATGTGGATAACCTCGCTCTCATGTATGAAGGATGGACAGCATGGGTGTGAAATTTATTCAAGTCAATTAGAAACCTGCATTGGTTTTTTTGTCTCTCGAGATTGACTTCTAATCCTGCGATCTCAATGGTCCATTAGTGAATGGATAGATCGAGTAGGTGGTACCTCTAGGTAGCTTGAGGTAATCCTGTCCATAATATCCATAATCTATGCGTGAGAACATTGTCGACATGTCAGTTTCTTTTGATGAATTGATGGTAAGTTATATTTCTTGGTGCTGTTTTTGTTTTTTCATTTCTTTTAGTGTAGTCTTTTTTTAATAATAACTTAGGCAGCATTTATATTTGTCAGTCTTCGGTTTATGTTCTTCAGCATCTCCTTGTTCATCTATATTGTGAAAGCTTCAAAATTGAACGAATTTTAGTTTTTATGTAGGTGACACATCTTATTATACGATAATTCTCATGATAGTTATAGTGTGTACTGGGTTTAGTTTAATATTCTTAAATAGGTTTAGCCAATTTTTAGGATAAAATCTGTCTCTCAATTGTTTTAAGCCAACTCAATGCATGGAAAAATTATTTTTATAACCCAGTAAATAAACCCCTATTTGTGAGATTGAACCATTTGTACTAGAAATGAAAATTTCATAATGTTCAATCAATCGTAGAACATAATCCTCTTTTTTCAAAAATTTAGACGTCTATCAATTGAAAACCCCATAGAGTTGAATATATGATATTTTCAAGCTTCATGATGTGTCAGTGTATGATTGCCGATTCGTTACGTTCTTGACATTTTAATTACTCCCAAGGATTTATACCCTATTTACAAAGCGCTCAACTTTATGAGTTGATCACGGATTGATATCAGTTAGAGAACCATTGAAAACCAGCACTGGAATACTGGACAGCTGCTGTCTCATCCTAGTTTGGGAATCATCGGCAGTATGCACCCACTGGGACTCGAACCCAGGACCATCCGGTTACAAGGCAAGCTCGTACATCACCACTGAGAAGTCGTGACCAATGAGGTCCAATTAGATGTCACGTGTGTGGATGGATGTCCCACCAACGACAATGGTTGGGGTCTCGCTAAATCACGAATTGGTAGAAGTTAGAATTCATGAGCCATTGAATCGGGTCCCAGTGGCTGAATGGTATACGAGCTTGCCTTGTAACCTGAAGGTCCTGGGTCCGAATCCCAGTGGGTGCGTACTGCCGATGATTCCCAAACTAGGATGAAACAGCAGCTGTCCAGTATTCCAGTGCTGATTTTCAATGGTTCTCTAACTGATATCAATCCGCGATCAACTCGTAAAAACATAAATAACCCTTACAAACCAAACTATAGAAAAGCTCAACTTTATCTTCAAAGCACAAACCAAAGGTGAATTCCTTAACTGCGCGTAAAATTAAATCTTCTCATTTTTGTTTTTGGCTTCTATAGTCAAATACTTTTTCATAAAGTATTGTGCCTGTTTATATATATATATATATATGTATATATATATATCAACCACTGTTGGTTGATAAAAACAGTTCTGTTCCTAATCGTATATTCCCTGTGTTCATTAAAGTATATTAATAATATGATGTATCCTACAAAATCCAACTTCCCGTGGATGCTCTTGAATGTGTCGTGTTGCATTTGTAAAAGAGAAAGATTGAGCGAAGAAATGTTTACTTTTCAATTAGATCCTCATCTCTGGTTCTACTCTAATATATATAGCATTTTAATTACAATACACAACAATTTACCAATCAAGTGACGATATGTTTGTTAACAATAATTAGTCTGTGTCAGAATGTCAAAGGTGTGATAATTAACGAAGAAAATTGATAAATATATAATTTTCAAGTATTGGTTTTTGTAGGGATTTTGTTTGATTGCATGGAGGATTTAATCATGAGCTGACATCAGTTAGAGAACCACTGGAAAACCTGGGAGTACTGGACAGCTGTTTCGTCCTAGTTTGGGACTCCTCATCAGTACGCACCCACCGGGATTCGAACCCAGGACCTTCTGGTTACAAGGCGAGCTCGTAGACCATTGAGCCACTGGCACCCGATCCAATGGTCCTTGAATTCTAACTTCTGCCAGTTCACGACATAGCGCGACCACTTCGCAATGTCTTCTTCGATGAGTTACTGCCTCATCTTCGCGCTATGTCGTGAACTGGCAGAAGTTATAATTCAAGGACCATTGGATCGGGTGCCAGTGGCTCAATGGTCTACGAGCTCGCCTTGTAACCAGAAGGTCCTGGATTCGAACCTCGGTGGGTGCGTACTGATGAGGAGTCCCAAACTAGGACGAAACAGCTGTCCAGTACTCCCAGGTTTTCCAGTGGTTCTCTAACTGATGTCAGCTCATGATTAAATCCTCCATGAAATATATAATTAAAAGGTGGAAATGGTTACAACACGTGGATTGCATAATGCATAATTTGGGAAAAATGAAGAACAATTAAGGAATAAGCGTGTGCACAGGTTGATTACGTAACAGATTGTTAAAGAAAATAAAACAATTTGGACAATGATAATTTGTAACTAAAGTTGAAGTGGTCATAAGAATAATATAATTTTTACAAGGATAACAAGTAATCAAAGATGAAGTAGTCAGAAAAATAAAGTATTTTGGACAATTATAGTTTTTAAAAAGAAAAATATTTTAGGGGGAGGGGGATGAAGTAATCCGGTTTATACAATCATGTAACGATGGCCAACGTAAGGAAAGTGACTGTACAAATTTCTTCTGAACACACAAGTTTCGCTTGTTCTTCAGGTGGATTCCTATTGCTTCAGCTCTGTGTAGAAGACGAACTCGTAAAGCAAAATTAAGATTAGTAGGAATGCGATAAACGATTTCAGATGCAGTATTCACATCAACCTTATGCTGACTATCTACAAGGTGGGCTAAAATAGAGCTACGAATAGATCTTGTTTGTCCCTTGCTTAACCATGCTGGATGATGTTCGGAAATACGATGATGAACGTGCCTAATTATTCGCCCGAAATGAGGATCTAATTGAAAAGTAAATATTTCTTCGCTCAATCTCTTTCTCTTTTCTAAATGTCTGTCTAAATGGGGATATTTTCTATGTTGCATTTGTGTATGTATTTTTTTGTTGTTGTTGTTGATATTTTTCAGTTCTAACAACGGATCTAAAATTGACTGTGATGTGGAGCATCATTACACCAACAACTTCATCAATACCATCCTAACTAAGGTCAATATGGCTAGTAGTATCTCAGTAAAAACAAAACAGTCGTTTTTAACAACAAGCTGTGTGAATTCATTGTATTGGGATTTCTGTTTCCTTTAACAATGCTCTTTCATTGTATGTCCTGGATCAATAATCTATTTTTTTTCTGCTTTTTGATTATGTAATACTAACTTGTTCCTCATGATTTTTGACCTTCCTTTATATTGTTTTCGTGCTTAGGTAATCAACCGTGACAAATGTTTCTTTGTTGTGTTTTTTTTGTGTGTTTTTGTTTCTTGATTTGGACGTAAAATAAATTATTCTGTTTTGTTTTATGACACTTACTCAGCTGCATATTTCGACAAGAAAAATTAATTAAGAAGACAATTGCAGCGAAGAAAATTTTCTTTTCGACGAAGTCATCATCCAAGCTGTACATTCGTGTATTTATATCAAATGGATGGAAAAGTTCCAGAATAATATCCGTTCAAGGGTCAGATTAATAAAAATTACTATTAGGAATTGGAATGCCATAATAAACAGGTGAACGGATAGAACTCAAACCAAGTAGCATCATAATAACTAAGATGATTGACATTGTGCAATCAGGGGTTAGAAATGTAGAAATAGTAAAATGACAAAATAAACACTAAGTTCGGGTATGAAAATATGGTAGTGTAAACAGGGATTAAGAAAAACATAAAATAATATGAATAAACATGTAGTTTAGGTAAGAAGGGCGATGGGATAGTCATTACTAAAAATTACCTGTTTATGATGGCCATGGCAGGGACAGGAGTTGGACGTATTTATTTTGGATACAAAGCGTGGGTGTGAGCTTTTATATAGCTAGCGCTTCGGCTATGCCCAGATGTCTTGATTTCACTCCCCTGATAGGTTTGATTGAATCTTGTGTATTACTTTGAAGGATTTTTCGAGTGGTGCTGAATGTCCTGAATTGACCAGATGTTCTGTCAGCCGTTGATATTCATCAACTATGTCATATAATGTTAACTTAGGATTTTGCTCTAGCTCATTGAGCAGTCGAGTTCGGATATCTGTGAAACGAGGAGATTGAAGACTGCATATGAAAATCAAGGCTTTGAATTGATCATCTGTTAAGGAGCTGAGTCAAAATTTCTCATATTCTCGGTTGACTGTGCCAACATGAGTAAGAAAATCATCATTTTCATTCATTGTCAGCTTGAGGAAACGATAACGTATGCTGAATAATGAAGAGTGGTCTCCAAAATGTTCACGCAGCAGCTTTATTGTATCATCGAAACACTTGTTACGTGGTTTTTTGGGTAAAATTAGGTTGCAGTACCTTTCATATTCTGCGGGACCCAATTTACGTAATAACACTCTCACCTTCCAAGCATCGCCTTGTGAGGCGAGATCAACTGTGAATAAATCCGCATAGCGTTGATACTATGTGTCAAAAGTGACATTAGCATCTGGATCATAATTGAATTGTGAGATACTATTCACATTTCCGTCGACAGAGGGTAGCATGGTATGATTCGGATTGCTTGAAGGTGAAGTTGGACCAGTCTGTCTGTTAATGAACATTTCCATTAATTTCATTTGTTGTTCAAATAGTAATTCCAATGTAGATAAAGTTATGGTTTTCTTTGTCGCCAATTATGTTTTGTACTCGTCGAGTAGTTAATAGTCCTGACGCGGATAGAAGAGGGAAATCAGAAGACCACTAGGTTTACGATGATACTTGTATTTTCCAGACAAGGAAAATAAATGTCACACGAGTATGTGAGTGAAATGGTACGCAAGGTACGAAACGTGGGAACAAGAAGTACAAAGGTCTAATACAAAAGTATATATGAAA